GTTGGTGATCTTATTAAGTTAACATCTGGATATATATATCTATATATTTTTCTTTTTATGTAGCTTTTAAAGATCTCTTCCTCCATAAGACAATTTTTAAAGAAAGACAGTTATTGCAGCATCTTGCAAGACAGGGCACAAGTTATTGGCTCACTATTTGTAAAAATGTTGCAAAATACCATCAGTTACCTTTCCAGTCAAACTGAGCTTCAGTAACTGTCTTAATCTTTGCAGATTGGTACACTGATGTTGCAATTGTTTCTTTGTCAATTAATGCCCCACATATGCATTGCTAAACTACATCATGGCACTCTGAATGAATGGCTGAGGCTGCAGGGCAGAAGGGAAGATAAATCCAAAACCTCTCTCTTCTAAAACTACAACTTTAGAACTGAGTCACAAGTAGGAACCTATATTTTGGACACGTATGGATATCTTCATGTTGACAGGTCATTCTAGTGTTCCAGATAGAGCTGATTGTCAAAACAGTCACATATATATACACACACAGATCTGGAATAAACTGCCAAATCTCCTCTTAGATTTAAGAAGGAAAAATTGGGTAGAAGGCATACTCTGAGAAGCCCAGAAGTAGTAAAGGAAAGCCACAAAGGCCACAGAAATGAAAACATTTCTACTGGTGTCACATATAAAACCACTTCCACAACTTCAAAGAAGCTGTAACTTGCTCTTGCTCCAGGCTTCCCCAGGATGTGGGGATCAGAGATCTGAATCCTGGATCCTCCTGGACAAATGTTCTGTTTACCATGCAGAGACACTCAAGTTCCTTCTCATGCAAGGTCTTGTTTGAATCCTGTATATAGGGTTCTGACCAGTTCCTCTCTCCTGCACATGCTTTACCCCTCCTTGCTTGCATGATTCTCTCAGAAAAACTTTCCTTGTGCTTTCTGTCCATGAAGATATGAGTGCCCAAAGCAGAAGGAAGCCATCACAAAACTGAAACTTGACTTCAGTATTCATTTAGCAGATTAAAGAATGTCCTGTCCTGTCTAGGCCAGTGTGAGCTTTTGTCCCATCAAAGTGCACCATTACTACTAACCAGGAAGGTTTTTCCTAAAGTAGGCTGCTGTAATGAGAGAAAAAAAAAAAAAAAGAAAAACAAATCACAACAAATCAGAGCAGCATTTCTAGCTGCAAAGCATACCCAATTCCTTTTTTCAATTTTTGCTACCCACAGCTCTGTTGCAGCAGTTTATGTGTTTAAGATGCACAAGTGAAAAAGAATCATCCTAGAAAGAGGGTGAAACAAAAGCAAAGTACTGCACAAAACTAGCACAACAAGCCAAAGAAGTAACTAAATAATCGCCTCTCTTATGGAGATAATGTTTTTTGATTCCCAAAAACTGTATCAAATTTTGTATATATTTGCACTCTGCTATGGTTACATGCTCTTTCTCCTTAATGTTTGAAAGGGAACATACTCCAAAGGCACACCAGCTAGATTACACGGGCACATTATAAGTTTCACAATCTTGAGAGCATTCTACTTTGATCTCAGAAGTTGATTGTTGGAATCCCACAGAGCAAAGAGATAGCACAGGAGGGCCTTTTCACTGATATACACATAAGGAAAAATTTACGAGATTTCTGTGAAATTGCTTTGGTTTAGAATTTTCTCAAGTGTTTCATTTCAACTATAAATAGAAAACAGAATCTCATGACAAAGATGTAGTTGACATAGTGTGCAATTTATCATCTGTGAGCACATTTCAGAGTGCTTGTCTCAAAGCTGACATGCTGTGTGGACTCTGCAATATGACTACTTTAATATATTCCATGACAAATGCAAGTAAAGTAGCTGAGATACAAACAAACCACAAAGAAAATTTTCCATTGCCTCTCCTGATCTGGACTTCTTTCTGATAACAGATAACCTTGGGGAGACAAAAATATTCCAGCATAAATGGAAAAACCATTGTTTTTCTGGATTATTTCTTACCATGCTTTTGCCATGGGTTGTAAAGACCTATTCCTGGAAGCACACTTAAGTAGATTTGACTTCTTCCCTACCTACAAAAATACCACAGACATGCAAATGATCCATAATATATGTGTAGACAGCCACTGAAGTCAACATAAACAAGAACTACGGTATCTGATTCCTGGACTGTCACTTCTGTTCAGAGTGTTTTTCCCCTCAGAAACCATTTCTAGGAAGAATGAAATAGTAATGCTTTACAGTGTAATGCTCTCATTCTCCCACATCTCAGACAGTAGATCCACAGCTGTAAATATAAGCTGACTGAACTAGTACCATCACAACTGACAGAAGCAGGTGACCTCATCTGCTAAAATCCAGCCTAGGGGGTCAAGGGTTGTAAGTGATTTAAGGCTGTGGCACCTTGGAGGTGAGGTGCCCTCAGAGTCCAGATGGTGTCAGAAGAGGTTCTAGATTCAGGATCTTGAATATTGGCTTCAGAGACCATACAGAACTGAATGCACTTGGATAATCACTGAGAATTTTCTTTTCTTCCTTGTGCTCTAAGAGACTACCTATGTGCTGCAAGGGCAAACTCATAACTTTGCTATTGTAATAATTGAGCAGTTTAAAAGTTTCCCTGTCTTTTCAAGCCACTTTCCAACATTTTTTGCACAGGTATAAAACCAGACATGCTGAGCTGGCTCCAGAAGAAATCTGTATTTGCACTAGGATAACTGGTTGCAGAATTTAGCCCACTGTTTTTCTTTTACAACTCTCCTCCTGCTGTGGTGGACACACCACCAGAGGGCAATGAAACACATAGACTGTGTCAGCATCTTGCAGATGGAGATTTTTGGCCCCAAGGCTGGCAGGTGAAAGCTCCTGTGACAGCCATAAACAGAGTTAGCAGCTGCCGTGAAGAGATCTGGATCCATTTAGAAACCACATCCACTCTGCGCTTCTACCCAACACTATACAAGGATCAGGCTGCAACTTCTCTTCTTGTACTGGTCAGACCTTGGAAAGCCAGCAACTTCCATAGTCCTAAACACAAAAATCGACTGGTGACCTCAGTGTCTCAGGCAGGTACTTCCACTGGAGAAACCTTACCCAAAGCTGCCAACGTGGCATTGGCTTTGTGCTCATTCACACCACTGCACCTCCATGCAGCTCAGGAGAGGGGGAAATCCAAGTTCTGAGTAACAGCTCATTCAGATGAATTTGATGTTTCTTGGGCAGAAATGACAATGTTCTTTGGCACATGCCAAGCTGCCATTGATTAGCTTTCACTCTTCTGAGGTGGCTTTTACTTTTTCAGGTCTATTATTTGCAAATGCTGTTTTTGAAGTCCAGAGGCTAAGAATTGGTTATGTGTTTTTTAGTGCTAGATTATGTATAGAAATATTTGTAATGTGGTTTTAAGTCACCTTCCAACATTTCATTATTTTGTGGAGCAGTACATGGCCATTGATTAAGTACAGAATCAAAACTGAATCTTGCATTTGGTGGGTGACTACTTTTCTAATGTCACATTTTAATCATCTTGCTTTGGCACCAGAAACTACTACTTGCTATTTTAAGCACCAGATACGGGATTTGGGTATCCTAGGTAAGTTCAAATTGGCCTAATATAGAACGTGGCTACTACCATTTGTTTGATGAGAGCCCTCTGAAGCAGCTGCCTATTTTGATAATCTGTATTCAGAAGGTGCTTGGGTAGAACAGCTGGCTGATATCTTTTCAGCTCTGCTGGTCTCAGCTCTGGATTACTCCTGAACAAGTTCAGATATTGATGGGTGGGTACTCAAAGCAGGGCCCCTATATCCAGTTATCGACAAAGTCTTCCCTGCTTTACCCCTAACCTGGGGTTTGATCAAGGAAGCTGTTGAAGTCCATGGGAGCCAAAGTTATTTCACAGCTTTAGAGAATCAGCATCTTAATCATGTTAAAAATATTTAATTAATACAAAGCCAAGGAATGAAGGCAAACCTTCATTCCTTGGCTTTGCATTAATTAAAGTAATTAGAGCTTTAAAAAACAGGTATGCTGTCTGCTAGACAGCACCAACCAGAGTGACATTTGTCTTCCAGGCATGAGTCAGAAGGTTAGATTAACTTTCAACTTTACAATACTGGCATAGTTATTGGCATCTCAGACTGATACTGTGGTGGGATTTACATACTCATCCAGTGAAGGAGCTCAACTTCAACAGGTACAAAAATAGAGTTCAAAATCTAAGAAAATGTAGAGTTCAAGAGGTCTGAAACTGATTTGCTCTTAATAGGGAGGTTAGGATAAGTCTTCTGAAAAAGAAAAATTGTCAGTGCACGCACGTAAAAGATGCAGAGATTTAAACATAGGGTGGGAGGGGAAGGAAAGGAGAAATGAGACTGGGATTTGAAACAAGGTTCTGTAAATGTTGCTTTAACTATTAATTGAAGAGTAAACATCCTATTAAATTCTTATGGAATATGTGCATGAAAAGCACAAGTCAGATCTGCCCCATGTGGATGTTGTTTATGAAGCAGCCTCCTTGGAAGTGTTCCTCAGACTTTTGACAAATGAACTTTCTGTAGGTTGTACATTTGAACATGGAATGCCTATTGTTTCCATCTGCCTTTGGCTTGTACAGTTCCTTGGGGGCTTAATAGAGAGACAGACATTTAGTAGAAAGAAGGCTTTATGGAGTGGCAAAAGCACATTCTGGGAGAATGCACTGGGCAGAAAAAAAGAAATCACAACAAAAATAACTCAAAACCAACCAACCACTGTTTTCTACAGAAATTAAACCATCACAGAAGAAAAATGCTTTTAAAAAAGCACATACATTTTTCATGGAGTGGGCCTAAAGCACTTATTTATATTTCATCTCTGTATGACACGGTTTTGCTCATCTAATTCCATTTAGAACATTACAATTTTTGTTTCAAATGTCTCTGTGCTGAAACATATTCTCTAAAGTGCCCTGGAGCTGCTGGTATTGTGAATGTTATCTAAATGACTCATTCGAATTTTTAAGGACAACTCAGCTTAGGAATACAATATTCTGTTTTTCAGTTATTTTTATTTGAAAGTTTTTAGTTTGGGGTGCAGAGAAGAAAGATGCAGAACAACACATAGCACTTGAATAGAGTCACACAATCGCTGCTGTTTTCCGCTTTACAGGATGAAGCCAGACATGAGCAAGTGGCAGTTTCTCCTGGAATGCACAGTGTGTCTTGATTACTTATGGTTTCTCTGCAAAAAAAAAAAAACAACCCTGAAATATCTCTGATTTTGATGATAATGTGAAAGACAACTATCAAACACTGCTGCTTATATGATGTCTGTTTCTTTGGTGCTGCTGCATATTTCACAAGTCGCAGAATTTCGACTCAACATTTCACGCATGCATTGGTTTTGCACACCTGTATATACCTGTATGATGAAGTTCTAGCTCCAGTGAAGCAAAAGTTTTCTTAAAATACATATTATACTATAATCCTATGTACATAAACATTTACAAATACTTGCTTGCATATAGAGAAGGTCAGGTTCTGTGTCACATATATCACAGAGCCCCTGAGGCTGCAAAGTCTTTTTTGAAATGTAGAATATTTTTGAAGGTAGGATATGTTATTTTGCTGAAGTAGACAGACTTAGGGGCTAAATTGTATGCTTTCTGAAAAACAAATTCAAAAACTCAGGAATACCTGAGTTTGACTTTGCTGACATGGAAAAAGTCCCTGCTGAAAGGATGTTCCTCTGGCACCAGCACACAGCAAGACAGGAATCCACTGGCTGCTGAGCTGCTTTAACTGCCAGAACACCACTTAATGTGAATTACCTTTACTTTTGTACTGGTGGTTTCCACACAGATTCAGAAAGCTCATTGAAGAGGATATTCCTCCAGGCAGTACAGACATTCAGTTGAGACCAGTCTATAGAATTACATAGTTTTTACACATGGGAATGCACCTTTTGAACACTATATGTTGACCTGTTGTTTGAAATTAAACTAAAGCAAGCTGGACTTCTGCTTCATAGAGAATAAGATTTTCTCAGGCTGTCAGAACAAGACCTCAAAGGGAGCCAGAAGAGAAAAGAGTGCTTTCCTAATTAACACCCCCAGCATTAACCAATCAGACAGCATATATAGGTATCCTTTCCTAAAAGTTAAGGCAAAAAAGGCTACCAGACCCACCTACTGTATATTCACAGACCATTAATTTTAACCAAAACATCTAGTTGAAGCTCAAAGACTTTAGTGAGGGAAAAACATTTCTCTGCTTAGAAAAGGATCTGCTTCAGGCCCAGGTTGGCAAGACCTGAGGAAGACATGCGATGGCAAGGAATGAATCATCTGAGATGTACACAAATGACCCTAGCAGATGAACCACACCTCATGCTATATGAGGTGAAAGATCCACAGAGCCTGCCAACCTGACCCAGGGAAAATTCCCTCCCAAACCAACTAAGGCAATTCGTAATCACCCTGCCACCTACAAAGAGATCTCCTGCTCTGGCCAATCTCTTGTGCTGCAGGGGAAAGCAGTTAATGACAATGAAAAGAAGCCGCCTACAAAAACCTTCGTTCCTTGCGCAAGGGAGGAGATGAAAAGAAATCTGCCCTGATCATCTTCAGAGAAATTGAAGTCTGTTAATTGTCTTAATGTGGAGTTGCTGTCTATAAGCTTTTAAGTTGAATGCTTTCCCATTAAGGAAAGGGATGAAGATGGCAAGCTGTCCAGGCCAGGCTTGAGCTCTCATCATCAACAGACCTCACAGCCAGAAAGCAGCTTCTTATTTCAAGACTGAGTTAGCTGAACTTCAGCTTCTGTCAGCCAGGTGGAAAAGCCTCTGCTGTCAGGTGTTTTCTTCAGACTGACCTCTCACCCTGCTCTCAGATTACCTGAATACTCTGAATTCTTGACAGCCCTCATCCTGATGTTTGTCTTCCAGGCCTTAGCTCACATCATAGCCCAGGTTAGACAGCACAAGACACATCACCTGATGAAGAAGCCTACAAACAATACTAAATGTTTCTCTTTTTCATGGATCACATCATCCTTTTTTTGCCACAACACAGCAGGGAAAAATTAAAATTAAAGAGCTCATCCATTATGCCATCTAAGTCTATCCATAAACCACTGTTTTCCAAAACATGATTTACTCTATTCTCTATGCCAACATATACCAGCACAGGCTAGACTGTATCAAAAAGCATTCTTTTGTCACAACAGAATACTTGAACTAGGTGATTACTCTTTACTTGGCTTTATTGTTTATTTTCTTGCTAAGCTTTTCCTCAAACTTGGTGTTACACATCAGCAGATGCTACACATTACTGACCATATTAAGGTGATTAAGGTTCACCTGGCCCACTCTCTCAGTGTATAAGTAAAACTACTGTAAAAGTACTTGAACAAGCTGAATGAATTTGAAGGAGAGGATGCTTCCTATAGAGACAACTAGAAGCAGAGAAAGATTATTGAATATTTTAGGCAGTGGGTAAGCTATATAGCTGAAGAATATTTCTTTGCTTCTACAAGGAAAAAAAAGAGTAGAGGAGAAGTTTTGCTCAGGGGACAGCAACTGCATTGCTGATTGGGGTGGAAAATCTGTGACAGAGCCTCTTGTTAGAACTGTTGGCAGTGTATCGTTCAAAGCAATACATGCTTTCTCTTCACCAGACAGGGATTTTTCATTTCATCTATCATTCAGAAGTTGTAACTTTTCCAGAAGTCACATTACATTGTCATAGGCTCCCATTAACACAAAGACTTTCACTTTGTGAAGAAATTGGCTGCTGTGGAAGATGGGCACAGGGAGCAGGCGCTATAGGTGGCCTTCTCACATGGAGATGCTCCATCAATACACTCAACCAGAGAAGCTGTGTTTCTTCTGAAGATGAATTGCATCTCCCCAGCTTCCTGCACAGCACTTTGTACCTGGGTGTTCTGAATATTTCTAACATCCTTCTGCAGCACCATGCCAATTATGCTACTACAACAATCCCAGCACAATTACACGCAGGAGTTGCTTCCACCAAACAACAAATTTCTGAGACCTAAGGAAAGCTCAGCAAGACATCTAAAACTATTGGCTACAATTCTCTTCCCTAAAGAGAGGAAGGCCAGGGCATATAATATTTTCTTCATAAGGAGATCACTTTCCCCCTCAACGAAAACAGTACAATAAGCCATGTCAGAAGTAGTAGCTAAAGTAGTACTTTCAGTGGTCAGGAATGAAAACACACTGCTGTTTCAAATTGCCATTCTAGAATAGAGAATGAAATAAACATAAGTCAGACCATGATTTTTAAATTTCCATACCTTCTAATCAGTGTGATAATCATCTTTCAATGTCAAAGGATAAAGAAAGCAAAAAATCATATTATCATTATTTTCCTTTAAGCTTTGCAGTTTCCACATGTCTGAACTTAGCAGGGTACAAAAGTGTTGCCTTGCTACAGAGGCAGAAGTTATCAAGGAAGCTACGTGAATGTTGGATATGCTTTTTGGAATACAGGGAAAAAGGCTCATAGATAAAGGGTCAGTTCAGCAACATAAATTATGTAGCTTGTTAAATACACCACCACCACTATGCACCCAGAAAATGCAGGTATTTAACAAGGTTAGTAATTTGATACAATGGGATGATATCCATCACCGAATCAACATTTACATATACAGTAAATTAATTCTAAGCATCTGATGCTAAAAGAAATTGTATAGCTACATACACTGTCAGGATTCCTGTTTATATACGTCCTGCTTAATATCTTTATTGATAATCTGGATGAGGGGATTGATTGTACCAAATTTGCAGGTATCACCAAGGTAGGTGTGAGTGTTGATCTGTGTAAGGTAGGGAGGCTCTGCAGGGTGGTCTGGACAGGCTGCATCAATAGGCTGGGACCAAAAGTATGAGGTTCAACAAGACCAAGTAGCTGGTTGTACACTTTGGCCACAATAGCCTCAGCAGCACTATAGGAGACAAAGTAGCTGGAAAGCTTCCCAGCAGAAAAGGATCTGGGGGTGCTGGTTGAAGGCAGCTGAACATGAGCCAGCTGTGCTCAGGTGGCCAGGAAAGCCAATGCCATCCTGGCCTGTATCAGGAGCAGTGTGGCCAGCAGGAGCAGGGCAGTGATTGTCCCCCTGTACTCAGCACTGGTGAGGCCACACCTTGAGTGCTGTGTTCAGTTCTGGGCCCCTCACCACAAGGAAGACTTTGAGGGGCTGGAAGGGTCTGGGGCACAAGTCTGATGAGGAGCAGCTGAGGGAGCTGGGGGTGTTCAGCCTGGAGAAAAGGAGGCTCAGGGGGGACCTTATCCCTCTCTACAACTGCCTGAAAGGAGGGTGCAGCCAGGAGGGGGTTGGTCTCATCTACCAGGCAGCCAGTGACAGAACAAGAGGATATAGTCTAAAGGTGTGCCAGGGGAGGTTTAATTTGGACATTAGTGAAAGGTGATTAGACTTTGGAGTGGACTGCCCATGGAGGTGGCAGAGTCCCCATCCCTTGAGGGGTTTAAGGAAAGACTGGCGGTGGTACTCAGTGCCTAGTTAACATCGTGGTGTTCAGTCATAGGTTGGGCTCTACATCAGAGGTCTTTTCCAACCTAGCTGATTCTGTAATTCTGTGGTATTTAATTACAACCCACAGGTAAATATTTCAGCTTTAAATAGTAGTATCAAATATCACTGTTTTCTAACTGATTTTTTAATTTCATGTGACGTCCTTGCAATCCTAAACCCACCTATTGCTATTCACCTCACTAAATACTGTGTTCAAAAATAGCTTTAACAACAAACTGTAAACAGACTGACACACATATGTCAATGAAGCCTGAGGACCTAAAGAGAAGAGGAAAGTAAAGCAAAGTTATATCACTCAGAGCCTTGGTGGCCTGGCTACAAGAAACTCTTGGGTCTTTGCCTTAGTTCTAGGTCAGTTGACTGAGTCATTTGACCAAAACTTTTCCTCCTTCTTAAAAGCTGTAAAGTTCAGGATTAAAGTTATTGTCTGGGCTAACAAAATCCTAGCCAGCACTGATAAATGAGTAATATTAAACACTAATTCCAGTGGCATAAGTTGGCCTAACACGAAGAGAGTCAAGCCCTTTCTTAAAGGTTTCAAGTAATTTGAATGGGCAAAGACATCCTGATTCTTCTGCTTTACTCTGACTTGTTGCCTTTTGTTTAAGTAACAATTTTTGTTGAAAGATTATACCAGGATTTGTACCTTTATGAACTCAT